AGTTCCAGCACTGTACCTCTACCTCATTTCCTGGGATTTCTATCTATCCGCAGAGCTTTACATGGTATGAACTTATTTTTAGTTCAAGTGAATATAAATTTCCAGAAGAATTTTAAAAATGAATTCCTAGACACATTTAGGAAGTGGCACAGAGGGGTATAACAGCTGATCTGGTATTGTTTTGAGACCGAGCATTGTAGACACACACATCATTCATTCTTGAGAAGTAGGATGCAAAATGACACTTAGCCCTATGTGCGTCTCTGTCCATTCTACTATGGTCCTCAGCCCCTTTCTGAACTCAGCCTAAGGAACATGAGCAAATCAATTTTAAAACATATCTGGGGGGATGGGAAGGGGTTGGGATGATTAAATTAATCTTCATGGCCATTACCAATAAGAATGATTATGCATTTTATATGCATATTGATTCTGTATTCAGACACACACACAGGTCCCATTCAGAAGCTGGCCTGACGTGGAATGTAAAATACACAAGGGTGCCTGTCCCACTGCCTCACAGCAAGACTAGGCCATGCTTTGCTTAACTAACACCCACCCACAAAGTGCTCTTCCCCTTAGGTATGAACAGTTTAATCCAGCAAAACACCCAGGAAAGACTCGATCACAAAACAAAAGGAGCAATCACACCTCAAGTGGAAGTTTATGATGTTTTGGTCCACAATGAACATTAGTCTCTCTCACTAATGTCAGGCAGTAATTCACTGCTGAGCAGCTGCCATAAAATATGATCACTTAGTGAAGGGAAAGAAAGAGGTGGAGAGAGGATTTCAGCAGAAATATGTAGCACGGAAATCTTGTCTTTCTGACACAACCCTGATCTGGTTACCCCAACTTAGGCTAAAGGTTTGCAGATTTATAGCAATACCCTAAAGCAAATCCAGATGGTGTTTGCCTTACGATTTCCGCCTGAAGTTGAAATTTTAATAGTCAGTGAGTTATTTCTAAGTTCCTCGGTATCTCTTTTTTTTTCCTCAGTGTCTCTTGATGACTGTAGCATTGACATGCCAAGTTTCTTAACAGTACAAACCTTTAACACTCACCATCATAAAAGGCTGTCTATCCCATCCATCACTCACACACATACACACACACACACACACACACACACACACACACACACACACCCCACAGCAGCAAATATAAAAGGCATCCAAATTGCCACTTATCTCACCTCCTTTCCCCTTCCCTTATGTGATGTGTGCACTCAAAGAGTGAAATTATGGTCATCAAAGGCAAGGCTACATGCAGTGGAGACTCATACTTTCAAACACAATGAAAAGTCGGTAATTTGGAGAGCACCTATGGCTCAGTCTAGCTCCTGAGCCCCTAAAACTCACAGTGAACTCCTTTACTCTCAGCAAACCCCCAAACCCCCTTCCACCCACTCTGCTCACTCCGAGTCCTTGTCACACCGCAGAGAACTCTGAAAGGCCCTTGATACACACAGGAGATTATTACAGGGCTCAGAGATGCCAGCTCTATAATTACGGATACCGTATGATTTCCATTATTCTCACACTCTGGGCTCAGTTGGTCCTAAAACTTTGCTGCAAGACTCTCCCGGAACCCTGAGCTTGTCATGGCTGGGCCTCTGCCCAAAAGGTGGCCGTGGACCTGATAACCTCTGGGAAATGCAAATCGGGGTTATTTCAAAGAAAGAGGTGTGGTGCTCAGTAGCTATGGGTGGTAGGAAATTCTATTGTTTAGAAAAAAAATAAACGGTCCATTTTTGCTTTTTATTATTTCAAACAACAGACGTGACACCCCAGCCTTCCTTTTCCAACTCAGACTGTCCCCATGGATCAGCCGTGCTGAGACTGCAGAAGTGGTCACCAGGTTTGAGAAAAACTATTAAGAGACTGCCATTCTAAGCCTATGGAGCAGAACGTTTAGCTGCCTGGACGTCGTGGTTCTCCCCAGGAGGATGGACGGCTCATTCCCCTCCAACACGACCCTTGTATGCTTAGCTTTCAGATGTTTATGCCTCACCAGCCTTACTGCTGTTCTGGAAATTAAATATAATGTCCCAGACGGCCAAAAGAGAATTGTTCTCATATAAATTCACTAGAGGAAAAATAGCAAATGCCAGTGCATGACTTAGAAAGCCCAAGTCTGCCTGGCAGGTGTTGCCTGTCACCATCTGCCTGGTCTCCACACCTGATCCATGAAGGTTTCCAATAGAGAATTTGTTCACCCAGGTTCCAGAGTATCTTTGTCCCTACTCACTGCACTTGGCTTCCCTGGTAGAGGACAGGCTTTTGCAGCCACCATCTGCTTCTATTCCGCCCACAGCACACATCTGGGAGACCACTCTCAAGTTCATAGTGCGGCCATGACCAGAAAACAGGTATTTCCCCCAATAATTGTCTTTTCTGTTAAGTGCACTGAATTCTTGATGCTCATTTCACAAACACCATTTTTCTGACCAGCCAATGACAAAACAAATTCTCACTGAACATCTCCTCTATCTTGCCAGGGAGTACATGATCTGGCATCTGGTAGAAGTTTGATATATAGGAGTGTTTAAAAGTATGGAGATTGGGCTCACAGGGGAATAGAGTCCCTGTATCTCAAAGTGCTACGTATTACTGAGTCTCAGTGGTACTCACTCTCCTTTAAGAGCAGGCAAAGCTACTTGACATATGTTCCATTGGGTGAGTTGTGTGTGGTAACTGGATCAGTCAACTTCCTATCACCATAATGAAATACTTGAGAAAATTCACTTAAAGAAGAAAAGTTTGTTTTAGCTATTTTGCAAAATCCAGTCAAAGATCATTTGGCTCCATTGCCCTTGCTGTGGTGAGCCAGCACAACATGGCAGGTACGTGTGGTGGGATAAATTCACTTATATCAGGAGCAACAGAGAAAAAAGAAGGTACTGAGGTCCCACAATTCTTTTCAAGGGCATGCCCTCAATGACCTCAGGACCTCCCAGTCCTAACCTCCCAAAGTTTCCAACACCTAATAGTGCCACATTGGGCACCATATATTTTGTTTTATTTTTTAAGAATGTGTTTGTTTTGTTTTGTTTTATCTTTTTGAAACAGGGCCTTGCTATGCAGTTCAGGCTGGTCTCAAACTTACAACTCTCCTGCCTCAGCTTCCCAAGTGTGATTATAGCTATGTGCCACCACACCCAGGTCACCAAGGTTTTTAATACGTAGCCTTGGGGGACATTCAAGATCCAAACTATAACATTAATGCCTTTGGGATTTAGAATTCACTTTTCCAGGAAACTAAAATCACTGACTAATAGCAAATCAGAATCATCTAAACAACCAACAGAAATGTCCACCTGGTCCATTCCTGTTCAAAAGTTTAGGCAGCTCTTTCCTCAGTATGTACTGAGGCTCTTTGGACACAATTTCAGCAAGTGTGGTTCTCTGATTTCCTAGCCCATTGAGAGCTGCAAGGTGCAGAGTGAGGGAGGAGGAGAAGTGTGAGAGCTGACCCCTGTTCCTTCCAGCTACCCGGAAGTGATGAGTAGCAACATGCACTAGAAGAAGAACCAGAAAGGCTGTAATAATCACGGGAGCTGTGTCTTAGACACACCCACACTTTGCAGCATCTTCTCTGGGAGTCCAAGAAATTCATTTGAGTGTGTGAGCAAAAATCATAAAGAGTCACAGCAGCAAGAAATGGTTCGATTATATTTACTATGTTCCTTGCAGAAAGGGCAGGGACCTGTAAAATATAATTTCTGAAGATGTGTAGACAATGAGAAAACTATTTTTCCGCTGTGACACTGAAGGCCGTACCCTAAAATAAGATGCACCTCTTCATGGGAACCACAAGAAGTGCAATAAACTGCACATATCTTTGTAGGGGCTCTGGGCTTCAGCAGGGTACATGGTTTTCTTTTCCAGGTATTACTCGTATGCACCTTCCCCACTCATGCTGCTCCCTGCCTCTCACTCTCCACGCTGTCACAATCCAGACCCATAACCTGTGCTGAGTGCATACTAAATCCACAGAAAGAAATGATTTCTGAGCTGTTAGATAGTAGGAGAGTAAAATACACAGAGCCTTCTAGATTTGAACAGAACTCTTCCTTCACCATTTGGAACTGATGCTCAGAAATGCACCAAAGAAAAACATAGGAATCAAAGCTCTGGCTTCAGCACGTAATGCCACTTCACTTAGTATAACGCATATAATTTCCGAAGAATCTCAAAGGCAACCTAAACAAGACAAACAGGAGCTCCACATGGAATCAGTAACATTTCCTAGGAGTGGGCTGAAGTGCAGGTGTTGGGCTATAGAAAACAGGACCTACAGCTTACAGTCTTAGAGACTTAGTCCTCATCAATGAGGGTATGCTATGGTGATTACTCCATCTCACTGAGATGAGAACACTCCCAACACTGCCAATGGGCCAAGATTGACTGGTGCCCCAGGAATCAACCAGCTTCTGGGGTACAAAGAGGACAGGCCAGGTCCTCAAATCATACCACTTCATTCTACCTTCAACAATTTCTATGCTCATGTAGCATCTGTGGTTCATTGTCCCACAAGTCGGCTCTTACCTCCATTAGCAACTCGAGCAGGTCTGTGCATTCCTCCATCTGTTCCGTGAATGGATTCCAGATGGATGCACCAGCCAGAAGGGTTGAAGTAAGAGGAACAGGCATGCTCCTACCCCCATATACTCCAAACATTAGACCTAATAAAGCCCTTGCCTTAGGGCTCAAGTCTCAGTCAAACAGAGTGCACCATTTGGAATGACCTAAGGAGGCAGGGTTAACACCTCTCCTGTGCAAGCCATTTCTAAGAAAAGTGAATGTACAGGCATCATAACAACCTCAGCACAAAGGCAGAGAAAAGACAAGCAGATCACCATAACATCCACAGCAGCATATCTCAGTTTAAACAAGTCCTAGCAGCCCACAAGGCTCACAGCAGTAACAAGCCATGAGATAACAGCCAGCACTGTGGGGACAGATTGTTTTCACAGTCACTCAAACTGCATCTCATACCTTCTTCAGCTTGCCACTCTTGGTGCCCACGAAGGCCAGAGAGTGATTCTTGTAGACATACGCGATGACAGAAGTCATGCGGTCCCTGTCCTCCGTGAAGACAGGAATGCCACGCACCATCTCAGACACTCCGAGGGGGGCATTCATATCCAGGCCACAGAAATTATCATCAATGGTTAGGAGCTGAAAATTAAAAGAGAGAAAAAATTAGGAAAGAGTATCAGGGCAGTTGGCAAAGGTATGAAGTCAGGGAACTTTAGAGCTAACAGAATCTTTAGTGATGGATCCTCTGATATAAGTCCTTCTTTTTGCATGTGGAAATCTTGATTACAGAGACAATACGTAGTCTGTCCAGTTATCTAGGTGAGTAACTGCAGGACCATGGCAAAGAGCACAGAGATTCCGAAAGTCTCTGTTCGCCAGATGTCACTGCCCTCTGGCTATATTCCAACCCTTCCAAGGCACCATCGTGATGGTTTTGATTGCTTATTGTCACTGTCATCTGGAAAAGCAATGAGCCAACAACTGGCTCCAGACAGCTCAACTCAGGCACAGGAGGGAAGTAAGTGGTCTGCACACCTACACTCTCCTATAGAGCAAACATCCAGTGAGGACTCAAAGACCAGATGCATGAATGTCAATCACAGTATCACAGCAAAGGCCTAACTTGGACAATCAGCTGGGGAAAGGAAGAATCGCGTCGTGAGCAGCCACTCATGAGTCCACTCTCAGTATCTGTGCTCTGTATCTGTTAGAGCACAACAACAAGGGGTAGTCTTAGCTTCCTCACGTATGTGTCAGTATTTCCCAGAGTGCCATTTGTGGAACTCAAGCTCCCCAGGATGCTCCACATAAAAGAGTGCTTTGGGAAAACTCCTAGAAAACATCCTCATCTCTATAGGAGAACCATAATGGAAATCCTTTCCAAGATGAAATACATTTAAGCTTCTGCCAGTCTTTCCCCAACATTTCATTCCCATATTATTAGTGACCATAATTATTGATTAGTATCTGTTAGCATCCCCTAGAGAAACTATTCTGGAAATATCCTGTGGGTTACACCAACCCAGCTCTTCTCCTGACTCTAGAAAGTGCAACCTCAAAAGTCAGGAGCCATAATGGAAAGCTTCTGGGCCAGTTCCTTGCCATGCCTTCACTGGGTCTCCTCCTTCTCCACACCAGGTCTCCAGTTCCCAATGTAACAGACAGATCTTCATGGAAAAGAGGGGTCCCTGTCAGATTCTGTCAAACCAGAGAGTCTGCAGACCCCATGGTTACTGGTGAGGTACCTCTAGCACTCCTTACCAAGGAGAGGGCCCTCAGATAGGCCTCTCTGAGGCGTTGGAAAATTATTGGACTTTCCATCATTTTTTGGAGCTCCTGTGTGGCCTGAGAAGAGTTTCTCTGTATTCCTGTGCTTTTATTTTGTACTCTATAAAGATGAAGGAAACAATCCCTACTTTTTGATGGGCTACCATAAAGCTTATTGAGTTTGGGCCCAAAAACATCTTTGGACCTTTCGGAGAAAGGAGTGAAATAAAATACAAGGTGTCACATTTTAAAAGGCTTCACTCCAGCCAAAGTAACAGGCATCTGGAGAACAGCAGGCAGGCTCTTGCCAACACAGCCATGTGAAAGTGGCCAACTCTGCTCTCCAGGGCCTGGGGCTCCTCTACTCCCTTCCAGAAAAGGGGGATGGGTTGAGGTAGGCATCATCCAACTCAGGGAAGGGAATGTGCTGAGCATCAAAGCTTTCTCTGACCCTTCCCTTGCTTCTTCCCACAGTAGGGTAGTCCTGGTGCATAGGGGAAAGGGCAGGCAGGACACAAGGACAGCAGATGCCTGCTCCCTGCCTTTGACAGCCTCTGGCTTCTCCTACATCATCTGGTCCAGTAGCCCAGACCAAATGCAACTCTCACTTGTCCCACTGAGAACCACAGGAGTTAAATTTAGGAGGGAGCTCTAGTCTGATATTTCTCCTTCATCCAATAACAAGGCCATGGGGAAGGAGATTAGTGGTAGAAGGGAATGATATGGAGAGAAGGCAGGAAGAGAAGATCCAAGTTAGGGAAGGTGATGTCCATTCCTTGTTGGATGCAATGACAGCATGGTAAAGGTATTACCAGGCAGTCTTAGGGGCTAGAAATCCCAATAGCCCTTGAATGTTTGCTATGTTCAGCTTACAAAAAAACTGCACCCTTACATTTCTGGGACCTAACCTGTGCTTCAGGATCTTGGCCATCAAAAACTTTGTACATTATCCACATGACCCATTTTCCAAGTGGATGAAGCAGAATAATTGTTTACTCTACAAAAGGAGAAACTGAGGCAGGGGGATGCACCCATGTTCTATAGTTCCACACTGCCTCTCACATACACACAAATTCTTCACTATTCTGGGTGTGGTAAGCCATCTCAGCCCCCTAAATTGTCATTTTGTTTTGTTTTGTTTTAGTTCCAAACATGATTTTTTCCTTTATGTGGTCAAAATGCAAACAAATCATATCAACAAAAAGAGGGCATACATTTGGCATCTGCATCATTAAATCGTGCTTACTCTGAGGCAAAAGTGAGCGACCTGTGGGCATCTTTCCACATAGCACCTCACGCAGCCAGACTTTGGCTGAGGGATGTTTGCACTAGAAGGAAGGGGGGCAGCCCTTCTTTGCAGACCATTTTCAGCTCATGCAGCTCCTACCACAGCCCATCAGGAGGCAGGGGCTTGGTCTCTTCATCTGTACCGTGACAGTCACCCAGCTCCTTGCCTACCCCAGGTAGTCACTGGGTTTGAATGGGGCAAAAGATGCAGCTGGGGCTCATAAAGTGGCACCTGGGACAATGTCTTTCTTCCCAAGCTTCCCATGTCTCTGTCTCTCCTTCTCAATGAGACCACAGGAGAAGAGGATGTGATTGAGGCATATGAATAAGCTTAACTACGTGGGTGCTGAGGTCTCCCCACTGTGGCCGGAAGTGACTTTATTCCTTATTTCCTCAAGGGGTGATGGGGTTAGGACTGGTAGAAACACAGATCACAGGACCGATTGTGTGGCAGCTCAGATGTTCCCTAGATGTGCCACCTGCTTCATCAAAGGGCAAACCAGGTGATGACCAGATAAGGCCACAGAAGAGGCCCTGGGAGCAGGCGGCACTTCAGCAATGGAAGACACTGTGTGCTGATTTCTTTAGAAATTCTGCCCAGAGTAGAGGTAGAGTTGCTGCAGGCAGTGATCCTACAGGTAATGATAATACAGGAAGAGGAACATGAAGGTTCCCAGGGCTCACAGATCCAGCAGGCAAGGGAGAGAAACCAGATAGTGGGGTCATCAGGCTTATTGGTAAAAGAATCAACAGGTGAGGGGTGGTGCTGATTCCTGAGCACCCTGGATGATAGGGGACAGTAGCTTCTCTGGGCTGCCAGAGCCTTCCCCTGGGCCCCATTAACAGCAAAATGGGAGCCATAGCCAGAGGAAACAGAAATGGACTCAGCTGTAATCAGGAGCTCCTACATGGGCCCATGGCTGGGCTTCCCTCCAGCCAGTCTCACGAATACCCATGGGTAAGCCATGGCCACCATCGTTTGCTTACTAACTAGAGAACAACTCCAAGGAAAGCACCTAAGGATTCAACACATTGGAAAAAATGGGGTGATTCCCTAGCCAATCTCATTCACAGATCTAATGGGTCCCTTCTCTTATCAAGAGGATGATGCTTAAATAGTTCGGTTCTGACCTGTGTTGTTCTAATACAATGTCCTTTTTTACCTCTATCCCATCCTTTTTTTAAAATTAATCTATTTTTTCTTACATTTTTTTTCAATTAAGGGAAAACTAAATTAAAAAATAGCGGGACATATTATAGTAACTTTTTTGTTTTCCTATTTACCTGATTTGAACCTTAGCATTGCTCTTCCCATCTTGTGCTGTCTGATTATTCTATATTCTGTTTTGTTTGATAGTATCAAGTTTGAGGGTATAGGCAACCACTTTGAAGGCAATAAGATATACTATGACGCCCATTATGGTTTGACTATTATCTTTTTTTGAAGTTCTATAAGGTCTCCATTGTAGGTTTTATTGGTCTTGTTCTGTACTGTTTTGATCAATTCTATTATACCTGATGATATAGGCAACTTTTTAAAAAAAAATAGCAAGAGGCACAATGGTAACCATTTTAGATCACCTGATATCCTATTTTTACATAATGTACTATGCCCATCCTTTTGTTCTAACCAACTCTGTTTTGTTAAGTCACATTAGGTTTTATTCTCTCCAAAAAATAATAAGAATTGTAGGAGTAAAAAAACCCAAAAAGTGTAACTGTTATTAAAAGGAGAGGAAAGGAAGATGGTCTAAGGGATATAACTGCATGTATGTTTGAGTGTGTAGGATGGAAATCCACGTTACTGAACTTTTGTTGGATCACTGATCGGCATTGTGTGCAATCTCATTGTATGAATGTTCACTTTACATGCTTTAGTTTTATAATTTGGACAACTATCTCAAAGATGACAATATATAACCTATTAACTAGTGATATCTTACTGTATTTTTTCCTTGAAAGTTTGTATTATTTGTACCCTTTTACTGCTTTGTGCTTTTTTAATTTTATTTCCTTTCTTTTTTTTCTCTCTTTAAATAATAATAGTAATAAAAGAGGATATTGCATCTTCTTTCCACTTCCCGGAGGCTTTCAGGGAGTGCAAGATGGTGAGGTAAGTTAAGATGGGTGATCCATGGTACTCCAGGGACTACGAGTTCAAGAACTGAGAACATGTTTTATGTATCTGCGTATGTACTTTTAACTTAGTGCCCAATTAATAGCAAGTTAGGAAACATGTGTTAGATGGATGAATGGATGGATGGATGGATAGATGGATGGATGGATGGATGGATGGATGGATGGATGACTGAATGGTTGACTGGCTGCATAGATAGATTGATTGATGCATCAATCAATGAATGGGTAAATGGCTAAAAGGATACATAGATGGTTAGGTAAAACCTGCAGGACTGTATTTGAATCCTATTTTCGCTGCTTACCTTGTGTGACTGTTAGAAAGTCACTTAACCTCTCCATTCTTTAATCACCTGTAGAGTGAGGGTTATAAAGATAACACATAACCCCCAGTGCCATGGTGAACATGAAATAATTTATGCATATAAAACAGTATCTATCACTTAGTA